CGATTTATTGCGCATGAATGCCACAGAATGAACGCTAAAGCCAGATCCGCATGATGAAATTCTGCTCGCTATTCTAAGACTCGAGGTCGCTCGGGCTGCAAAAGCGTGAACTCTAGCTGCGATGCTCGACGTCGATACTTGAAAAAGTTGGCAGAATCGGATTAAGTGAAGCAGTTGTAACTAGTCGGTGATGGTCACTAGTAACAGTGATCAACATCTCATTTTAGGGGCGAAGCTCCTGAGGGTCTAGCCTTATCCGGCGTCCGTGCTCACATCGATTGCCATCCCATCTGTCTTCTTAAAAAAAGAAAAAAAATGTTTGAGCAGTCAACAGGACTCAACCCTGTACGGGGAGACCCCAATGGATTTCTAGTCCATCACCTTAACCACTGGGCCACGACTGCGGGACGAGTAGGGGACTCTGAGATGTGGTTGTAACTCACAAGCTTGGAATGTCATGAATGAAACGTTCCATATAGCCGCTCCACGTCTATACAGGAGAGGGCGCTGCGGTCAGATGCGTATATAATCGCGTTAAACTTTGCATGCACTGGCTCAACGTTTATAGACAAGAGGGCGCTGCGGTCAAATGCTCAAATGCGTATATAAGCACGTTCCATACCACACATTCTCTTTCTGACATGGACCGTTGACTTAAGCGGTGGAGATGGGTTCCCACGGCTTCTAGCGGATCCAAGCTAATCCAATAGAAGACCCACTGGCTCTGCATTTCACTGACCATAAAGCAGTAATAATGAAGTCGAAACGCAACCCGGAACTCAGCACTACCTATGAACAATAAAATCAGTATCATCAGCGCCACCAGAGCTTCGCCCTAATCAACATCCTTCACCACGTGGAGATGCGGTCATTTCTTTTTTTTTTTTATCTGCTGTTTACACCAAGCCTACTTAGCACAAACAGGTTTAAAACTTAAGTCTTTTAAAGCCTGCACTTAGCTCTCATCGCAACGTTTGGTCTAATTGCCGCTGACGTTTGAACGCGCAGACGACAATTTGAACGAGTTTCGAAGAGCAGACGACAGTCTGAATGACCAGACGGCTGTTTGCATGAAGGTAGCAAGCTTCTGGGGACGACATGACGCCACCAGAGCTGCAGCTGGGGGAGATTTCCGGTTTAGAGGGACACGCCCCCAACGATGGCGAACAAACGAACAAGGCGAAAAGACGCTATTGGACAGAAAGGACAGCTGATTTGGCGTCAACTGCTGTTTTGGTCACCCTGGGTATGGTGCCTAAAGCGCGTCTTGGACTGGTGTGTTTAGTGTCCCAACCCACCCATACATCAAAAGTGGTCCTGAAGTGGCAACAAATGACGTCACAGAAGCCGGAGTGTCACGCTGTCGCGATCCTGCCGATTGGTCGTAGAAATTCTGACGAAAAGCTGCGAGTAACACAAGCCAACGCGAGTGTCGCTGTCGTCACGGCGTCCCAACTTCTGGCTGCCGGAGTTTCCGTGGACTGCCACACTGGAGAGCGACCGTAAGCAGAACAGGCCTCTGCCACATCCAGCACAACTGTTGGGACGCTACCAGGATCGCAACTGGCGACAGCATGACACTTGTATGACGTCATCAGGCGGAGATCGAGGAACTACTTTTTGGACGCGGTAAACGCACCGGTCGGAGACGCGTTCCAGGCACCATACCCTAGGGGGCGTTCCCCAGTGGCCGCAGCCTCCCCTTCCGGCTTCACCTGAGATTTTCTCGTTTGGCTGGATCGAGCTAGTGCCGCTGACATTGAATACCTGTGACTCTAGCCTGAGCCGGTATGTCGCCTCCTCTTCTTCCTACCTCCATGGCTGTTTTGACGTGAACACGCACTGAACGTAAGCCGCGGCTGGTCCGGACAACTTGTCGGTTTTTCCGCGTTTATGTGGAAAGAGAACGAATAAATCTGACGACCACGAGTATCCGACGATTCAACGCAAAGTGCCTCCAGCACAAGCAAACGTGATCCGACGACGTCTGGGTTTCACTTTTCACGTGCCTATCCACATTCTCGAACCGAGCAGAACACTCGTGAACTGATATTCACACTTTTCCTGGCTCTTCTTGTGCAGTCGCGGCGTTTTGACGAGAATGCAGGTTTTTGTACGGTTTCTTCTAAACCAATGCAGGGATGCCCGTCCCGCATGCTGACTTCCGCCCATCGCTTGGAACCGAAAGTGCGCCCGAAGCGCCACCACCGCGGCGTGGCTTAGCAGAGTTGAGTCGGTGTATGGCCCCCGAGATTTTTCGGGCGCTCTGCTCCGGCCTCTTCAAACGCTCAGCTGCCCAGCCGAGCGTTTATAACCAAATCAGAAAGACTGCGACAGAATCGCCTCAAAGCACGATGTCAAGTGGGAGCCGGAGGCATAAAACTTGCATTTTCATTGGTCTCATCACTGATAAATTGATATCTGTTGATTCGTAATTTTTATTCGCTGCTCCGTTTTTGCCCTGTTTCGCTGGATGATAAATCAGAATACAAGATTTAGTGCGAATCGTAATATGCGGATACTGTCTGGGCCGGTGGGACAAGCATACAAAAAAAAAATATTTGTCATGTGAAGAACAGGTTTTTGAACTTGACTGACGTGCATGAACATTTCTTCTACACCTTTCGTGCTTCGAAAAGATCTTCAAACTTCGATCAACTTCTTCCTTGTCAAAGGTCGTTGTGTTGCGGCGATATGCGAGGAGCACATTTCGTCCTGCTCCTAAGTTCCGTAGACCGACGATAATGGTAATGATGATAATTCGCAGCTATTTCTTTCTATCGTTTGATTTTTTTTTTTGTTTGAAGCGGCGTCGTGGAAATGCTCAAGATACCTGCCGCCCGCCACTTCTGGGAAGAACATGGCGTCTGAGATCTAGCTCAGTGCTACGCTGTGCCGCCAGGATCTTCTCAAGGGCTGCACGTGCCTCTCGCATCGACGCACCTTGCGTTACTTTTAAAACATGAGGGGGATTTCAACATTGTAAAACCCGAGACGTAGGAGTGTCCCCTTTATTCTTCTCCTTTGTCTCACGTCTCGGGTTTACAATGTTAAAAGTTGACTAGCTCGCTTGCATCTTCTCTGTAATTTCTAAGGGGCTCATATGGTTGCCAGCGCCACCAAGCGCCCCGCAGCAACAGTCTCTGCCGGCGAATGCAGTGGCCCGGGGAACGCAGTCAGCGCGCGCAAAATCTCGGGGGCTATGGTTGGTGACTAGCACTGATCTCTATTGTAGTAGGCTGGATCGCGGACCGCAGCCTCGGCAGCTGGGGCCGAGTGTCGCCACCGGCGGACATTGATTTACAACAGCCAATGCATGCGACTCTATGGGAAAAACAAGAAAAAGTGACGTTTTCCCTGTTTCTAAGCTGCTGTCGGCACAAATTTTTTGGATGCTTTTCGATAAGCCCGTCAAATAGCTTGCGTACAAACATTAAAACTGACAGCCATCGCAGTTCTTATAAATAAATATTTTGTGGTCGAGAGTGACTCCGCTGTAGTGCAGCTCAATGAGGCGAGAGTTAACTAGAGTTACTGCGGAGTCCGTGGCGGTTTCGTTGAGTTGGGTTTAGCAGACGACAAGTTCGAAGGGTTTGCTACGCGGAATTCGCTCACTCCCAGAAAGCCGCTGTCGAGATGGAACTTCTTTGTCATTCATCAACTTCTGGGAAGGTCCTATTGACGGCAAGTTACGGACGGTCTTATTGACGGCAAGTTAATTTGTTTACTCCACTACGAGAGCAAGCTTGCCAGCTCAGCCGTAGGTGCTCCGGTATGTTTGATTTTTTTTATTCGCCAACCGGACGTTTGACAAATACGGATTCGATCTTCAAACGCCCGACATAAGGATCACAGCGCCTCATAAAATACTCGCCTCCGAGCACAGCGTACATGCTTCAATATGCTTACTTATGTGCGTTTCTCCCATAAACGCGCGTGTATTGCCTGGTGTCAAGCAATGGCCGCCGGTGGCGACACCGACGGGCTCCCGATCCGCGATCCAGCCTACTACAATAGAGTGGTGACTAGGCCAACGCGCTGTTTCCAAACCAGCCCGCATGAGGTGTGGACATGGCGCGTGCGCAGTATCCCAGTCAGGCGAAGCGTCTGCTCAGCGGCTTGGCGTCAGGGGCCGCGTGTTGGTGGCCACGTAGCGCCCACTGCGAATCGTTCAATCAAATTTTCACGTCCCAATTAGACCAGAATCTGGTCAAGTAGCAATTTTACCACTACGTTATGCTCTCCAATATTTTAAGTGGATAAAACATGTTTTACTTAATAAGTCTTTTTTTTTTCTAATGACCTTCATGGCCACACTTAGTGGGACTAAGTGTGGCCATGAAGGCCATTAATAATAAAAAAAAAACTTACGCAAGATTTTTATTTTAACCCTGGACCCATTAAAAACCATGGTTATTCAAATTGCGTTTTCAATTACAACCGTAATTGTGATCTGTTACTTGCATAGTGTCAACGACGTCACCTAATCTCGCCCCTCATTTCAGCATAGGTGAGGGTCGGTAGCGTAGCAGGCCACCGTGGGTAAGGCTTATAAGGGTTCAGCCCCCCCCCCCCCCCCCCCCCCCCTCCGATATCCAGCCGACCCTATATATACACGTTCATTTTGCCCCAAGGCAAAGTGAATGTGTATATTTCCTTACCCCTGGCATGGACATCCCTGCCACCTAAGCCCCTCCCTCCCTCCCCCTCCCCCTCCCCTCCCCCCCCCCCATTCCCCCGCCCCCCCCCCCCCCCCGATAATAATTCCTGGCTACGCCACTAATGGGGTTCCGCGGTTGCGTTTCATCAAAAAGAATCGCGCTGAACGCGATTATCAGCTATTAACTAATACTTTGCGTTGGCGTTCGTTAGTAACTTGTAACAAACTTTCAGCCGAATAATAGAATACATTCCCAGCTCGTCACTCCGAGTGAGTGGCTCTGTTTCAGTCTTGCTTCTATTTCCTCCAGCAGGCGAGCCTAAAACACCAGAAAGGTGCCATGGTGTCCCGCCAGGTGTACAGAGAAGTCGAAGGCCTTCACCTCAGTCAGTTCTACTCCGACCAGAACATCCGCGCAGCACTGGCCTACGAGCCCCGTCCGCACGACATCTTTGCCGTGAGTTACCCCAAGTGCGGAATCACATGGCTGCAGTACCTCGTGTTCAGCATCTTCAGCGGCGGCATTCCTCCTCAAAGCGCCGAAGAATTCTGTTCGAGGACACCCTTCCTGGCGGTCACCGACATCGAGCGGATCAGGAGGATGCCTCGACCGGGAAGCATCAGGACGCATTTCCCGTTCCAAAGTCAGCCTTACTCGAGGCAGGCCAAGTACTTGTATATTGCTAGGAATCCTTACGACTGTTGCGTTTCGTGCTACCACCACACGAGAGCTCTTCCGGTCTACCTCTTCGAGGACGGGACCTTCGACGAGTTCTTGGAGATGTTCGTCGAGGGAGACGTGGAGTGTGGCGACTACTTCGACCATCTGCTGTCGTGGTACGAGCACCGACACGACCACAACGTCCTCTTCCTGACTTACGAAGCCCTCCAGAAGGACACAGAGAGTTGTGTGCTTAAGATTGCCGATTTCTTGGGGGGCAAATACAGCGAAAGGCTGCGAAGGGACAGGAGGCTCGTTTCCCGAATCTCGACGATGTCTAACGTCGAAATAATGAGGCGAATGTTTAGCAGGATATTCGAGATGGCTTTCGAAGGTCCTTTGCTCACACGGAGAGGAAGTCAGGATGTGGATAGTGTCACGCAGCCGATAACAGGACAATGGAGGAGCCATTTTTCGCCGAAACAGGTGGAAAAAATGAAAATGTGGATACGTCTTAAAACTGCAGGAAGTGACGTAATGCAGTTGTGGACTGACGACGACGTTCCGTGACGGCACTCGCAGAGGATCCCAAGTGCATGCTGCACCGCGACCCACTTATAACACCAATCGCTCGGCGACAGGTTACGAGCGCAGTCTATCTCCAGCGCGAGCTTTATTAGGCCCGACCAGAGCCGTATATGCAGAGAGCTCGGTCAATAATTCGTAAGTATTGGGCGAAACTAAGGGCACATCACTGGCCGACATTGTTTCAATGACCTTCGGCCGCCTTCCATGACAAAGCATCTGCGCTGCTCAGTTTCGCTCAGCCAATGGGAATTTAGGTGCCGTTTCGTTCAGCCAATGAGAATTTAGGTGAGGCTTTTCGCTGCTATAGACAACGTCTACAGGCAACGCCGGCTTCGCTCTATAAGACAATCAATGCTTTCGCATTAAAAGGGACATCACGATCCCGGCAAAGAGGCCTTTACGCCTTTTATAAGTGAGCTGACCATTCGACAATGATACCGATCGCCATACTTTGGGATGAAAGGAAGATCAATCAATGGAGGGCGTATTTTTCTTCTCGTTTTTTTCCGGAACGTTCTTACCTTCGCCAAGTCGCCAAGTGGTGGCAGTCTCACAATGAGCCAAAATAGGAATGTATCGATTTCCGAAGAGCTTGAGGGGGTAAATGCAGTGCCGAAGTTTCAGACGTTGTGTATGTTGTGTATCGTTTATTGCATGTCCCTTTTAAATACTTGGGCAGGTACTTGGGTTAATACTTGAGCAGAAGTGAACTGTTAAATACTTGGGCAAATATTTGGGCAGGAGTGAACTGTTTGCATATTAATGTATCCAAAACAAAAGCCGTGATGCTCCGCCCACGACGTCCGAGTAATGGGCTTTACGATCCTCTTAATATTAGTTCTTTAAATATTGAATTTGTAAGAAGCGTTAAAACGCTTGAATTGTTTTCTCGGAAAACATGCTTCGGACTAATCATGTTAAAAATCTCTGCGCTAAATTGCAAAAAATCCTGGGAATTCTTAATAAACCGAGACATATTTTCCAACATGTGTAAAGAGGGTTCTATATAATTCGTTATTTTATTATCATCTGTGTTATTGTAATACAGTCTGTGTAAATACATCTTCATCGAATTTAAACCCACTACATTTACTGCAGAAAAACGTGATTAGAATAATTGCAAATGTCACCTGCATATATTTAACACAGTCATTGTTTAAATCGTACAAAATTCTTAATATACAACAGGTCTATGATTATCGATTAACCATCGCGTATAAGTATGCGCCATTTGGGTGCTCAGATATAGTTCTTAAACTTTCTTATTTAAACGAAAAAACAGACTTTTATTCATGTGGACATCACCAGCCTTGGCAGAATCCGAAGTGTAGGGCTAATTATGGTATACAGAAAATTAGTTGCACTTTGTTTTATTGAATAGCTATTTTGATAAAAATATTGATGTTGTACATCTGTCCAAAAGCATCATCCTGAATTTGTTCATTTAGCATTGTAAGTTGTCCAATATGTGTCATAGTCACACACTTTGTAAACAGAGTTTCCTGTGCTCTGTCGTAGTTCCTGAATGGGGGCACCGGAGCTTGGTCAAGCTGCATTTCTGTAGCTTTTTTCTCCGACCTCCCATTCACCACACGTATCTGTAGTGAAAAATAAAATCGTTTCGTATCGTATCGTATCGTAATCCCGCAGAGTTCGATCGCAGCGACAGGTAACTCTTGAACCATCTGCATGGTTCGAGAGTTTCCTGCCCCTGCGAGCGACGTCTGTTCGAGTTGCTGACAAGTTATTCACATAGTTATTTATCAACGTCTAGTGTTCCCCGGGGATCAATCCTGGGCCCTCTTTTGTTTTAGTTTTTACAAATGACATTGTGTCTTGTGTCCAAAGTTCTCAGTTGCTACTTTTTTCCTGTCCTATAAAGTTGTTTTGTGATTAGGTATAGCATGATGCGTCGTCGATTATCAGTGGTGTAAAAATATTATTTTATTAATCCTGCAAAACTAAAACTGTTATCTTTGTGCCAAAATCATGTGCCTTTCAATTTCATCCATTATCTTGATATCATGCCGATTCAACGTGTATATTATGTGAAAGATCTTGGAGTGCTCTTTGATAGTGCTTTTTCTTCAAAGGGCCCATGAAAGGAATTTTTGGCTGAGATAAATGAATTTAGATTAGGAATATAGACAAACAGCATATAGTTTAGTGGTCCAAATGAAAGAAGGTAGAATGTCAAAAGCCCGACTTTCAGTAGGAAAATTTTGAAACCCATCCGACGATTTCGTACCTCCTCCCCTTCGGAAGCTCTCTGCCTTTTCACTGTGATACATCCGCGGTACCCAAAGCGCGTCACCCGGCCCAAAGGCACGACACATGAGACCAGACCTCACTTCTTTTCGCCCCTAAGCTGACAGTCCGGTGGAAGCTATGCGCTTGCCGGACCAAACAGCCGCCTCCTTTTCATCACCTGCTCTCATTATCTGCGGGTGGGTATGCGCGGGAGAGCGTGATCACGTGGCAAAAGTGTGACTGGCCGAACGAGCACGTAGCTTCCACAACAGTGTCAGCTTAGGCGTGGACGGGGTGTGGAACGCAACCTTTGAGTTTTGAGCAACGGGCTAATCTTCTATAGTCGGTTACAAGTCAAGAAGGTAGGAGAAGCTCCTCCCACAAGTGTGATGCGCCCGTTTCAAATCTCTCCGCAGTCGAAAGAAGAGTTCACTGGAAACGCTCCTTGTTCCGCTTCAATGGATTCCCACTTGTCTCCGATCCCACTTTTTAAAGGGCAACTCCGGTCCATACTGTCGATTTTGGGATTATGGCTGTTTTTAGTGCAGTTAGCGCCCCTGAGTTGCAAGGTGTAATTTTTTTTCTCGTTATTGCGCGTAGTTTTAAAGATATCAACGTCTCAAAGTTTTGTTTGGGGCGCGGCCGACAAAACCGAAACTAGCCGCTCGAGGTTCCGGTAACACTGGAAATGAGCCGCTATGTGGACGTGACGCCAAGATCGTTCTCGTTCAGCGAGTACGCAGTCCAAGCGGCACCTACCTCTGTTGCGCTAGTCGTCTAAAAATAGAAGGTAAACTGATTTTGTCTTAATTCTGTATATGTGGTAGTTATCCAGCATATGTAGCAAGAGTTAGTGCGTATACCCAAAAGCTAGCGACTGGAAAACCCGTCAACTCGTTCGGTGGCGTACTCGGCGGCCGCCGCCGCGCCTCCGCTATGCCGTGCCGTACTCGTTGCTTGTATACCAAAAGCTAGCGACTGGAAAACGAGTGAACTCGTTCGGTGCCGTACTCGGCAGCTGTCGGCGTGCGTGCGGTCTCCCGCACTCGTCGCTAGGCCTAAATTGTCATCGGGACTCCGTGGATGGAGCGGCGTTGCTCTACGCCGCGCTGCCAGTGACGTACAGTGCTGGCGCTTTCGCGCGGCGGGTCAGTCCCAGACACGAAGCTTTGAGGCTCTCCGGCGCTTTCCGCAACAACCGAACAGACGTGTGTCAAGCTGTAAACGTCTGTTTTTTCGTTATTTTTTTCTCAGGCGCGTAAAAGCTGAATTTGTAAGCTACGACACTAATTCACCACATAAGTTCGTCCAGGTAGGGAATATTTGTACAAATAAAAAAAAACTTTCCGCACTTAAAAAAAAAAAAAAGAAAAGTTCTTTGGGCAGTCATTTTCTTCTCAAAGCTAGCAAAAGTTTTTGTGGGTGATAAAGGAAAACAGAGAACGTTAGCAAGGTGAGAACACTTTCTTTCCCTTCCGCATTCCCCGCCCCCACCCACAACAATTTTTTTTTATTAGAATACATAGGATTTTAAGTTTTCCTTCGTAACTTTTGACTAATGCAAGTGTTTTTTTTTGTTTGTTTTTTTGCATTTTTAAATATTATATTTACCTCCAGCCGAACTCGGGCAAATTAGAGAGTTGTAACTTACAAATCCGAACTTTCGCGATTTCTTTAAAGTCCCTTGTGGTATTCACAAGCGCAATGTTAATTAATACTGCTACGTAACGGGTTGGAACGATTGGGAGGCGAATGTTTATATCGCATGAACTTCACGCGCCGGCTGTTCGCTAGTAGTCGTTACGGACCTGAACACTACGCACGAGATTGCGTAATAAACAAGCAGTGACGCAAAGCAGAACATTGTTTTCGTTTTCATTACTAACTTCAGTGTTTGGAGCTAGTTAGTGGTTGTACTCTACATGCCCACCATTCCCTATTCAACAGACATTCAATGGAGCATAAATGCTCAATCTTCAACACTGCACTTGACAATGACTGTTTTATTTATTGATCAGGATACTTTTATCATGTTTACCTTTTCTGTACATGTACTGTCGTGAGCAAAAGTCTGGATAACACGGGAGCGCCGACCGAATTGCATCGCCGCGCTCCCTGACGGCGTGGCGCCTGGTGCCGAGACCCGCGCAATGCGCACGCGCGTCCTTTCTTATCTACTGGCCCACTCGTTCGCTCGCTTCAACGCGATGCGCTCCTGAGCGATTAAATGGGCGCTAGGTGCCGCCCCGGAAACCAAGATTCCGAGAGCCTCGCTCACCGCTCGGACGAGCTCGCGTGCTCCGCGGCACGCGCCGTTCGCGCATATCTTTCCCGCGACTCGGCGACGCGTTAAAAACTGTCGCTTATGTTGATGCAGCCGCAATGAATTCTAGAACTTGTATTCGCGTGCTCGAGGCAGCCTTGGGCTTCCTTCCGAGTGATCATGCACGCGCGGTAAAGTGGTGAATGACGAGCAAAAAGAAAACGCCAAATAAGAAAGAAATATTTATTCAACCCCCTCCCATGAAAAAACAAGAAACAAAACGGAAGGAAAAGGAGCCGCTGGTTCAGTTTGGGTCGCTTGTAATTTTTATATTGTTGATGGCGTCAGAAAAAATCGAAAAAGTATCACCTTCCTGCAAAATGTTGCAATTCTGTTGTATAATCGCAAAGCAGAAATGGAAATATTTCCCTCTCTGCAGTTGTGCGCGGCGGCCATGGGAAACGCGCCT